AAGTACCAAAAATCTGGCAAAAAGGCTGGCATGCGTTTTGTATAAGTTATGAGCACACTAACGCATGCCAAAACACGTTGACATAAAGCAAGTACGTCGAGTAATTTTGTGTATGCTCCAAACTTCCCTATGTATGTCAGCATATGCTTATACGTGGGGCATAAGTTACAGGTAAGTTATCTGATTGTTGACACATGTTTAGTGTAAGTTACTCATAAGTCGTGGTGTCCAGCTTATCTAAAAACTATGAGTAAATTGTGCATAACTTATGTGTAACTTATCAAGAACTTATCTCCAACAAGTATTTGACATGTTCCAGACGACCACTGAACATTTTTCTAAAGTGCAGCTACTGTATAATGGTGTATTGGCAGCGTTTTGGTATGAAAGGGGGTTTCACAGCAGGAAACTGTCTGTTGTCCTCCAGGCTGCAGCATCCCAATCACAGGGTGGTTGACAAGGTGAGTATGATGACTCTACCATGTGCTCACGCCTACGACCAACAAGCTTCCTAGCAGACATGTCGCTGAATCTGCTGCGACTGCAAACCTTCTTTCTTTTCTTTCTTTCTTTCTTTCTTTATACTTTTTTTAGGGGGTGGGCGGTAAAAAGCAGCTTGGCTCATACCGTGATCAAAGACAATTTTTTATGCATACCAGGCACCTCAGAGCTCATTGTTGCCCCCTCAGGTGCATCCCGGAGCAGCAATGCTCCTGAGGGGGCAGCTTTAACCGATGCACTTGCCGTGCGTTGCGCATAAGTTAGGTTGTCACTGAACATAAGTTCTGGACGCATTATGGATACGTTATGTTTATGCCAAAAAAAGAGAAAAAAATCATTGATCAAGCTTTTTAGGAGATTCTTGACCGTTGAGCATACGCTGTCTAAATCGGCAAGGTGTGACAGGGCCCTAAAGAAAATGATAAAAATAAAATAAAAAAATAACTAAAAAATAACAGACACAAAAAGTCCATCAACTCATCTATCTTCTGTTGCTTATCTTTCAGAACCGTGGGGGGTTGGTGATACCATCTCTGCAAGTCTATGCTCAAAATCCAGGGCACACCATTGGTACACCAAAGATGCACACACACTCACAGCTAAGGCTGATTTAGAGTTACCGTGAATCTAACAGTCTTGTCTCTGGGAGTTTCGGGAGAGAAGCCAAGCATGCTGGTAAGAACATGCAAACTCCATGGAGAAAGACCCAGGGCAGGTAATCATATCCAGGTAGCCTAGTGAACTAGCTCCACCCACCAGAGGCCAAAACCATTTTTGCCTGCGAGTGGTCTAGCCTCGATCAATGCCCCAAGCCCTTGATGCTGGAGAAAGCACAGCAAGGAAGATGGCAACAACTATTGAACAGTTCTCGCTTGACTCATTTAATCTCACATTTAGTCTGGTTTATCAGGCTAATATCCAGGACCTTCTTGCTGCAATGCAACAGTTCTACAACCCTCCCACCATGCAACCAAACACTAATGGTCAGATACTCATAGATACCCATATAAAATAATGCTAAACTATTTACAATAGAATAACTACAAAAACCACATTTGAGCAGATTCAATAACAACAAGAAGATATGATTCTCTGTGGCGGCTCTGGCACAGGAGGAAGAGCTGCAGAAAGCTTTGGGTTTGAGTGTCTGTCAATGTCATTTCTTTTTAGGATCACAGTTCAAGGCACAGGGTGAGGATTCAGGGGTGACATAGAGGAGAACTGGTACATTGCTTAGATTATACTAGTAGGTCAAAGGCCCTTTGACAATGTTGATATTGTTGGATATTCTGCTCCTTATATAAAGTCTATATCACAGGGTGTATGATGCCAGCAGGCCAGAAGAAAAGTGAAAGAGAAGAGAAACAGCATTGTTCTCTAAATTTCATGGCTAAAAGGTCCAAAGAAGGCAGAACAAGAAGACAATGTAATTTGAAAGTCTCAATAAGCTTAGAATACATTACTGCCATCAAAATCTATTATTTTTTCTGGGGAACTACCACAAAGACTCAGATAGGCGGAACCATGATGGTTTAACCTTCAGAATTAGACCATCTCCTAACAATTTCTATAACATAGCTGAAGTCATTTTTATATGCTCTTCAATATGCAATTTCTATTTATTTTGAAGCTTAGGGTTTACAAAAGTTGTGTATGTCTGGTGGATTGGAATGTTTTTTTCAATGTCTCTAAATAGAGTAACTAGGGCAGACCAACAGTTTCATGTAAAAATTACAATGTTTCTGTAAATTTCCAGATTATAATTATAGTATAAATTAAGGATGTAAACAAATAATTCACTTACCATTAATTATATCTTAACAGTTTGTCAGATTAAAGTTTGTTTTTAAAGGAATTTGATGCTGTCAGCATCCCCTTCATTGAAAATAAAAGTGACAAATAGTCTGACAGCAGATCAGACATACCCTGTCTTTTAAAGTTTTGCATGCTTGTACACTGGAAATAATAAACACTTCAAATTTTATTTCATTTTTTTTAATTCAATTACTTAATAGGTGCCTGTTTTGTTATATATTATGAATAGATGTAGTAGTATGTAATAAAAACATGTTTTAATTTCATTTGTTACAATAAATTTCTTATTTTTTTATTTACGGAATTGTATAAAAATGTGATGGAAAGATCCTTATTTTCCTTTCTTTATATCATACTTTTAGAAAAATGTTAGTATAGTATTGGCATTGTAGACTTTTTTAAATAGTATAATGTGCATAAAAGTTTGAATAAGTATCAAGTGCATTTTACAGGTAACTAGTTTTAATTTAACTGCTACTAACCTCATGGCACGACTCAAACAAAGCCTCTTTTGTATGCTTAATCATGATAAAATTGAATATATAAAGCCTTACTGTTCTCATTGTAGTGACCTGAAAAGTCAGAGGTTTCCAAGATCAGATTTAATATGGCTACGACACACGTAAAAAAAAAAAAAATGTATTATAGGGTTAGGATGCAATGCCTTCCTCAGAGTAATCCACTTTATTTCTATATATTTTATTTATATTTTTAACATTGCATGAGTGAGATATAAAAATTATAAAAATATAAAGGCTTAAAAATAAAAAATTTACTGTTAATCAATTAACCACGTCGACATTGATTGATTTGAAAAGTAAATGAGCAGCATAGGTAAAACAGCTGAATCGTTTATCTTTTACAAACAAGCACCGACTTAAAATCCTACAACAGAAGTGGGTCCTTTATTGGCAAAACAATGAACACCAATTGTGGGTTTCAAATACAGGGTGAATCCTAATTTTAATGAAGGGTTGTCAAACCTACCTCTGAGGGTATCCTGTTTATACATCTATTTTTTTATAACAAAAGCAAGCAGAAAACAAAAGAAGCCACCTGGAAACACAGAAAGATTAATTAAATTGAACTAATTTGTGCTATAGTTAGCAGAAATATGGACGACTCTGCAAGTTTACTCATTTAAAGAAATATTCAAGTCCTTACACCTAATAAGATAAAACCATCCTTTACTATATTGCAATCCTGTTTTTATTACTGTGTACATTAAAAACATTGAGTCAGATTATTTCTGGGTTATAAAGACGAATTGTATTGGTGGTTTTCAGATTATGCCCCGTGAAATGACAAACTAAGCAAACAAACCACTTTGCAGCAAACAGTGGATGGGGAAACCACAGATGCCTGTAACACGTATTTGCAGTGTAGACAGCATAGTGCAGATCTCAGATAATTTTCCTTTTAAACTGCAACCACCCACAGGCTTCTAAAACTCCAGCTGGCAAGCAATCCTGAAGAGAACAGATTCTACCCCAGCAGGGGCCACAGGGATGCAGCGGGAGAGAGTAAAAGAAGCTCATTCTGTTGATTAAATTTAGTTGATTTAGCTGCTTGCCTTCTCCAGGGTGACTTGGAGCTTGGAGATTATCAACCTTTAAACAGGGAGGTCTTTATTAAGAAGCTTCCCCTTTGTTTCAGAGGGCTTTTTATTTCTTACAGCTGCACAAAATAAGATAGCGTTCAGCCTCTGGTTGATGTGCTGATTCTTTGATACTAAACTCACTCACATTTAAGTCCAGTAAGATGCATGCCAACTTACAAAGAGGATGAGCTTTTTAACCCAGACTCCTTTGGGAGGAACTCAATTGTCATTAGGATTACCATATATAAGAACATTCTAAAATTATGCAAAATAAGAAAAATGCCAATATTGTAATTTTATCCAGCATAACTCAAGAATCTATAAGAGTTACACCATTTTTGCTGCTCCTGGCTTCTGTTGAACGTACAGATCAGTTCTACAACTCTGCTTTATGTCATGTCACAATGGAAATAAAACTGTTGCATTATGATCTTTCAAATTACTTTATTTTCCATTTATAATCAATGCATTCCGTAGCAAAAACATCAAGGGGGTGTAACAGCAAAAGGAAATCTCTGCTGACCCCTGAGTGCAACCTGAACAGTTAGTAAGGCGCACTTTGCTTAATGGCTTCATCGTGTTACTCAGCAACAAACTGAATTACAGGATCATGGAGAGTGCAATTTTCATTTTATCCATTTAAGAAAAAAAAAAAATCAGGCGTGTCTATTGAAACCTTACTGAAAGATCTTCTGTAGATCACTTTAGTGTCAGTTTTAATAAGTGTGTTTATCAGTGTATCCCTTGTGTGTAATGGTGTACTTTATGGTTTGATTTAGCGCTGTTTTAAGGTACTTATTGGTTTTTTTTTTTGATCCTGGATTTGGTTTTTGGATCTTTTTTTTCCTTTTTTTTCCGTTAGTTATTTTTTTTCGTTTATGTGTGTCGTTTCGGCTCCGTGGATCTGATTGTGATGGGCGTACTTTCCACCCTTGGCTTTTTACTTTTGTTTTGCCCCTTTTTTGGTTTAACTCTATATTGATTTGCAAAGACATTAGAGCTGGAGAAGGAACGTTTTGTGGCCGAAAAATAAAATCTTAAACTAAGTAATTACTGTGTCTTGAGATTGTCAGATTGTACTTACTCGTAAACTTTCAGCTTGTAGCATTGGCCGTTCAGATACAAATACTCCCAATCTGTCCCATAGTCTATTTCCAGCTTCTTCTGTAGATCACTGCAGAAACAAAAAGCAAAAAGTGCATTAATGACTCTGGATATAATTGTATACTTTACAGAGATGTAAAGCAATACTTTAACAAATGATCTAAAGCTGTTTTAAGGAGATTATTAATTCATGAGAAATTTCTAATAATAATAATAATAACATTGTGAAATACTTTTAGTAACACAAAGGCACAGCATTAAAAGGCTATTAAAGATTGCTTTAGAAACCTTAAGGGCTTGTGAGCTTTTGGCTGTGAGGCTTTATTTCTCTTGCCTGTTTTAGTGACTGAATTCTTGGATAGTAGTTTGATGCGGTGCCCCCTTAAAAGCCCCGTTCCTATGCAGACTCCTCCATTATATAAGCTGGTGAGGACCACTCTTCTTCACTAATGGCAGATAAGGCAAGTGAGCCCTATCTCTAACTGTGCACAAGCCCTCATTTAAATATTCATAACCCATAAGTGCGAATGGGGTTAACAAATGTCTAAGGAGGGTGGTTCTGGATAAGGTAGGTTAGTGTTGGGGAATGAATTGGGGTCAGAGAAGTATTGGAGGTTGCATAACAGTGTGCACATGTGATATGCAGCAAGGGCACAGGTCTTGACATTCATGCACTGACTCATTTTGTGTGTAAATTTCCTTTTACAGCACAAAAGAGAGAGAGAAGACTGAATTTACAGTCAGGATAAACAGAGAGAAACCTGTAATTAGTTTGGAGCAAAAATGTGCTAGAACATTATGAAAACAATAATGCATTTAACAGAGAGTGAAAAAATATTTACATTAAATAAAACTGTACTGTTTATTTATTATAAAATATTTACCAGAAAAAACAGGCTTTTGTTAGAGAGTAAACCCTTGCTACTTAAAAAGTAACATGGCAGCCAAATGCCAAATTTCCTTAATTTATCATTAAAAACTGTGAGCACCATCATTAAAGCAGGAGTTTTGTCAAAGTACCACTCTAAAATATACTTTTATTTGCTAATAGCATGCCAGGGCAGAACGACATCAGCAATGACCTTGCAGAAGCTTTGCAAAGGAAATTTGAGTGACTGTTAAAGTGACTATGTATGTAATCAGTTTTCTCTCTCAAATATTCTTTTTAAATGTTTTTTTTTTCTGTATCGATAATGACAGTGTGAAATTTGATGGTGGTTATGAACCATTAGGGTCCTTTTTACAAAGCAGGTTTTCGTGAAAACTTTAAATTTCCTAAACCTGAAATAAAGGAAACTGAGTTTTCCGTTTGACAAAGACAGTTTACTCAACCTCTGTTTCTGCTATCATAGTATCATTCTCCCCTAAGCTAACATGGTTGGGAGCAGGTTTTGTTCAGTAAAGTCAAGAGTGTCCTCTGACTCCGCCACCTTTAAGCCCATCACGTTGTTTTACTTCCTGATTTACTCTGGAGATTTCTGCCATAGTTTTGTGTGAACAATAATAGAAAATCATTAAATAGGTCCATTAGAGACATTAGGTATTGAAAACACAATATATCAGTGGCATTAATTGGCAGAGAATTAAATATTTATAAGGAGAAGCTTCTCATACCGCATATAGATGTCCTTTATATTTAGAAGTTATTATTAGGGCTACATTTTAACCTCATAGTCCATCAGGAAACACCCAGCAGAGATTAACTGGGACAGAAAAACTGGAGGAAAGTGGACTTAAAATACAAATAAAGAACATAAAACCAACTCCAGCTCTTAGTTCCTCTTTTATTTTAAGAAATAATGCCATGTAAACTGGAAATATCATGACTTTTCAGTGATTGCCACAGTTACTGTGCTTAGCTCTTGTTTATGGTGGTAAACTTTTGTCAAATGTGCATACTGTACATGTTTTACAATAGGTAATGAGTGACAGAATGCGCATGATTGGTTATGAAAAGATAGGATAAATCTGTGCAAGAAGCTTTTAGACCTCTTAACATTAAAAAGGTTAATTCCTTATTATAGTTATTTGCTATTAGAAATGATCATTAATAATTATTACTGGATATTCAATACAGGGTACGCATTTTACACCCATATGAACCCTTTAAAAGACCTTTAGATTTTAAGGCTAGGCACTGTTAACATTTTCATGGGCTGATATTAAGGGCCTAGTTTCTGCAATGCTACTAATTCAGCCTTACTCTATACCATGGATGTAAACATTGAACAAACCACTATAAAAAGGCCAGCTGGCTGTGTTATACAAAGAAAAACACCAGGTTAAATGATTTTAAGATCATGCTTGTTAATCTCTAGACATTTCTCATTGAAATTCAGTAGATCTAAATTAAGTCATTGTTGACCAAGAACCTCCATGGATCTGGTGAAACTATGCAGAAATAGAGGAATCTCATTTCATTGCACCAAAATGATTCAAAACATAGCTCAGACTTCATAAAATAATGGCTCCATGACAGGAAATCAAACAATTAGAAAGTTCCTTGGAGGTTTAAGAACTAAATCTGTCAGAAAATCTCAGACCTCACTTAAAAAAGACTCTAGTCAAAAGATATGCTTTCACAGCTCACAAAAGATGCAAGCCAAGATTTTACATGATGATCAGATCCTACTGTATGATAAATTTGGTTCAAACACTTGGTTATTGCAGATTTTTTTCCTTTTTCTATACATAAGATACTTGTTTTAGTTGAAGTATAAAATATACAGGTCAAAGTTAAGGTAAAAGAGAGATAATTGTCATTGCCGTACATTTTGACATTACAAGACTGGCATTTTAACTGTGCTTTGCACACTTTTTGGTTTAACTCTATATTGATTTGCAAAGACATTAGAGCTGGAGAAGGAACATTTAGTGGTCAAAAAAGAAAATCTCAAACTAAGTAATTACTGTGTCCTCATTACTAATTTGAGCCATAAATACTTTGGGATAACCCACATAGATGCCACTGAAAACAAGTTAAGAAGATCCTACCAAGCAAAGCACAGTAGGCATCAAATAGAGTTTGTTTTTCTTCATTAAATTTTGCCTCAGGTGTTGCACAGTACAGATTCATTACTGTGCGTCTTTCCACACCCCTTTAGTACAGAAGGATGGAGTATATTTAAAACCTGGCAAACAGTAGCTAAAATGGTGTCCACAAATATTTTTAGACAGCCAAAAATGATTGTGTGCATTGTCACATTACATTTTTAATGAACCAATCAGATGCAGTAGGAAGTGCAGACTTTCAGCTTTGATTTAATGCTTGAAAGAAGAAAATATTACACAAAAATATAAAGAGCTAAAGCATTCAACACAATCCCTTCTTCAGGGACCAAATCATTAGACCAATCCCAAATAGGTTTAATTTTATTTATCTCCAAAGATAGAAGTCATTCACCTGCTTCTGTTCTGTGTCAAACACACGTCTCCCAGTGTTATTATTCCATGGCATAACACTGTTTTACAGATAACGTGGTACGCTATGTATTATGAGCTGATTCTAACTTTTCCTTGCCATTATACTGGATAAGGATCCGTCCAACTATCCTTCAGAACCGAAAATGTAGATAGTTTTAGGCTTTGTATCCTTGAGGCGTACAGCTGGCTTCCACCCAGTAGTGAACTCTCAGTATTTCCTTTCATGCAATCCTCTTTATGCTAGACTATTGACATCTCTACCTCCTGAAGAGTTTTGTTCACTTAACACTGTTCCCCTGTGAACGTCCAGTTTCCTTGGCTTGATAAGTTCACCAAACTATAGATCACTCTTAATACTCTAGTTATTTTTCAGATTATTTTTTTGTTCTGTTTTGGCAACATGAACATTGTGTGGCTGAGCAAATTGTCAGTCATCCGGGTCATGGGAAACAAAAAACAGCCTTAAATAGTAGGCAACCGGACTTTAATCAGTTTTTCTAAAGACCTTTTAACGTCTACCAAGGAGTCTTTATCACTTATATCACTGGAGCAATCTGTACATCAGGGCACCAATTACCGATGAACGAAAGTCCAGTTGCATCTGATTTAAGCTGGTTTTTTGATAAATATGATTTGAGGAGTGTTAAAAAATCTAATTCAGGTCTTTTAGCTGCATCAAGTGATCTTTGAGTCAACTGTCCAATTAGTTTGGTCCCTTTAAAAAGAGGGTGTCATATGTTGAGTAGCTAAAACTCAAAAGGCTCTCTTTATTTTGGGTACTCTAAAATAAAGAAATATGGGAAACTGCAGAAAAATATCCATCCCAGTTAAATAACTATAATTGGGATAAAGTATGGTTCACAAATCAGGTAAAAAAATAAACTTTGCGACATTGTCCAATATATATATAACAAGTATATAAAGTGACTCAACTTTAAGTGAGAAGTAAATGCATTATCCACACAGTGTTCAACAGTCATCTGTAACTATGTGACAACAGAAGCTAACCTCCCCCTCTAATTCTTTATTTTCTCTTACCTTATTTCCATGTTGACTGTCTCGTAGGCTTCCTCTACCTTCTTCAAGTCAGTAGCCTCCCACTCTGCAGCTAGACAAAACAAAAGGTCAGACAAATTAACAATGCGGAGTTGCTGCGACTCGGCGCCTCGCTTGTTGCCAAACAGCACTCTCCAAATATAGGGTGGTATTTTTAAGGACTGCGAGAGGCAGCGCATAAACATGAGCGTGCTATTTTCAGGTGCGATAAGTGCAGAATGGTGAGCTTATTAGCCTCTTCACACTGGAAAGTGTGTTAACTGAGCTTGTGAGAGGAAAAATAGAAGTCAGAGGCAGAGCGAGAGCTGCAGCAATTACTATATGTCACTTTTATCTCTGTCATTTTCATATGCACATTATATTATGTTTTGAAAGAAGCTTCTCCAAAGTAAGGAAAACATTTCAAGGGGCATTTATGGGATTCAGTATCTACATAATCCAAGGACAGGCACAGTAAGTAGGGTGTTGTGAATAGAAGCATTTTGTAGCAAACCTATTTACAAATGCAACCTCTGCAGAGGAATCTTTAAACGTTTTCATATCTTTATCTCAAGGTGATACAAAAAAACTTTTTGTTTAATTTGGTGACATTAATATTTTTACAAACAACTCTAATCTTGCATCTTCTTTACTAAACCTGTCTGAACTGAAGGAAAGATGAGTAAAACATGCACAAGTATGGTCAAGGATCCATGATGCTGTGGGGCCTTTTCTTTTCATAAGGTTCTGCTAATATGAAGCTAGGCTACGGATTTGATTTAACACTTGCATGTCCAGCGGCAGATTGACTTGCAGTAGAAATGCCCACTTGAATAGGTCGGCTCATTCAACCATCTCCAAATTGTGGTGATCTGGACTGTATCATGCAGAACTGTAGCTTCAGGAAGATAGTGTCCCAAAAGACTAAATCAATAAAAAAAAATGGCTGAGCAGAGAGTAAATTATCTTTCTTCACAGTTCTCAGTCAAATTGCAGAGGTAACCTGTGAATTGCACTTAAACAGAAGATAGGTAAAGTCCAAGAATTGGAACATCTAGAGAGATTGTACAAAGAGGAAGGCAGCGACCACTGCTATAGGGGTATGTCTGCTTTTGTGACAAATCTTCCTCTCAAGGATAAAGTCTCCCTCTTTTATTGATGTTCCCAAACTATAGGTGTCATGTTCTGATTTTTGCTGTCTGGCAGATAGCCCATTTCTGCTACGCTAACTAGAGTGAGCAGATGCCCCTGCTACCTGTTGTTATCATACCTATTTCCCTAAGTCCCTCTCTCGGCCAGTGTTGACCAGAATATCTCCTCCTAGTCTGCATGAGACTCATTCAGTGTGAGTGTGCACCACTAGCCTTCCTGTGTTCCTGTGCTCAGTCTGCCCTCACTGGATTCCCAGCTGCCTGCAGTCTGCTCAAAGTCTCCCTCTTCTCTGTTCAGTCGTCATCTGCTTTTTCAGGCCTGCAATCACTCAGTTTAGCCAGTCGCCAGTAGGGCTGGGTATTTTCGCCAAAGTCCTGAATCGATTAGATTTTAATTCATGCAGTTCTAAATCGATTAATTTCGATTCGATCTGTTTTTTTTTACAACAATGAAAGTGCTTCATCTGTATTTCAAAACACTGATGTATTTATTTTTTCCTGTCATATTAAACACAGAGTGCAATCTTGTAAATCAGTTTAAACTTGAGATGTGAACAAAATTGTCTCGAAAGTGCAAACTTGTTTGTGAAAAGTGAAAAAGTGAAGCCTCACTTGAGCAAGCAGACGTGACACAGCGGGGACACAGCAGACATGCATGAGCTGCATAATCTTCACTGCACAAACAATATTTGCAGCGTTGTCTGTAACAACTACAGGGTGTTTTTCTGGTCAGCCCCCATTTATTAATGTCTTCAGTCAACCTATTGGATATATTTGCAGCTGTCTGCCTTGAGGTCATTTTGAGTGCATCTTTCCTGCTCATTTGAATGTGAACGTCACACACGTCACCATAAAACTAATCGATCTCAATCCCTAGACATCAATTTTGCAAAGATTTTGAATCGATTCAAAATCGATTAAATCGTTTTTTTACCCAGCCCTAATCACCAGTTGATTCTCCAATCTTCTGCTTGTTCAAGCCTGCAACCAGTCTGCCTGCCTGTATTCCTAATGATTTTCAGCTTGCAATAAACTTTTTGCAAACGCAAACTTTATCTGACTCAAATATCAAGTTCCCTGAAGCCAGGCATTAAAAATGATTATAACTTCTAAATCTTTCCCTGCCAAACTATTGTGTTGCAGTGAAATATGAATTGCTGTCAAAGCTTTTTTTTTTTTTTTTTACAAATCGTTAAGATCTGTACACTACGCATAATTAAATCCTGCTTTTCTTACCTTATTATCACATTTATAATAGATAAATCAGTCATATTTGTTTTATAAGCAATGGCATTGTTAAAGTGATGGTCCTTTTTCTAGATGTGAAGGAACATCAGCACGGCAATAATTCTTGGATAATTAAATAAAGAGAGTTACAGCTCCTATTGGATTCTTGTCTAAAGCTTTAAAACATTTCTCACTATATCAACAAATATACACAGTGTCTGACATGTTCAATAATAACAGCTTGAATACCCTGTCAATGCAAATAATAACTGAAGAGGTAAACAAGCTCATATAAATTAATATAGGAAGCAAAAAGACAACGTTACCTGGTGACATCCCAACAATTAATTATGTACACATACAGTAGCTGCAATCTTTTATCATTAAAAGTGGAATACAATTACTTTACAGTAAAAGCATAGAGAGCATATTGGTGCCTGAATCATGCCAGCCCTTAAATGCGGACAAAAAAGGGCTGAAAGGCAAAGAAAGACGAAGGCTGAAAATAGAAGTCAGGACAGTCTCCAATTTAACCACCTGGTGCTGTTGGCCATGTGGATTTAGTGGGTTTTTTAAAAGCACACAGGTTTGCTTCTGACGTCGGAGGAACTCTCACCGGGGGCCAAGCTCTGTGGCAACGGATAGAAATCTGTTTGGGCGCAGCGACCAACTGGGAAGCTGTGACAGCATTGGCCTGTATACCAATTAGCATGTTCCTTTCATTGCATGATTCTCCAAATACGGATTTCTTGGAAAACCTGACACAGAAGTGGAGTGTTTTAAGATCATGGCCACTTTTAAAGCACCAAAATGAATATTGGAGCTTGAATAGAAAAATAACTTCTTAGTCATCTCTGAAGCACTGAAAATCACCAGCTTACCCACAGACATGTTCTCCTCAGCTCTCTCTTGACATTTCACTTACACACAACCAGCACTGGGCTCAGCAATAGAAAAAAAGGAAACATTGAGTCCCAAGTGGGAGACGTCTGACCCACCGCTGCAGTGCTGTTGTACATGGAGGGAGTGGTGACTGTTGGTGAGCAATGGGGAAGAGCAGCCAGGCAGAAAGAATGACCCAGAGCAGGGAACGGGGCATAGCCTGCCTTTTCTATGGTCTCTGCACCAGTTGATGGGCTCTCTATAACCAATGGGAAGCATTTCCTCTAGTGATAGCTCGCAGCATTACATTATCGGTTAAGGATAATCACATCATAATCCCAAGCATGACGTGATTTTAAACCCTCACTTTGAATTAATCTTTTAACACCATCGCTAAGGTTTCAATCATAGTTGAACAATGTATTTATGTTGAGAATTTAAGACAGAAATTCAGAGTAAAACTAAGATGGCCAGTGCATATTTTTCTCTACTGTACAGCACTTTACTAGAAGCCATCAGGAGAGTTGTTAAATCACAGAGGCAGTGTACAAAAATAGAAGAGGACTAACACGTTGTGTAGTGTGCAAAGTCTCCTCCTTTCCCCAGCTGAAAATCTCCTGTGTATCCATACCATGAGCCAGACCGATGATACCGTGTTTACATGCGAGTGGATCGATAGGCGAAACAATTCCTCGGCAGCACTAAGAAAAGAATCCTCAGAGAGTTGGTGATACGCGCCGTCATAGCTGTGCTTGATAACATAAAGCCGATGCAGAGAGGCCACCATTGTTTGCCAGTGCTTCACTTAAGCAACACACACCTTGGAGAGGATATAAACCAGCAAGAGAATGTAGGAGGGTGCTTAGTTGTCTACTGCTTTAAATAAAGGCAACAAACTAAAGGCTGCCATGTTTGTTTCAGTGCACTTTAGACTAGGTTGCAATGCCTAAGTTCTCTGTTGACTCCACTATTTTCATTTGATTCAATATTTTTAGCAGAAGCTTAAAATGACTGCCTCTCTGGAACCCTCACCTCCTTTGTCATTCTCTATTTTATGAGAATCTCTCATTAGTTCAAGAGCTTCCTCTGAGTTCTAAGGGGAGAACTATCATTTAGGCAAAAGATCATTATAACCTAATATAGAGGAAAGGCAACAAATATCAGGAGGCCCTGTTCTTTTTGTCCGAATGACCAACTATTTTTCAAATGCTAAATCACAAATCCTAGAATAGAATAAAGTAAAATAGAACAGAATATAATATAATTGATTATAAAATAATAGAAAAATCCTCTACTGTCCGTCTACTCCCTGCTGCTTTTCCTTTTCTCCCAAAAGATCAGTTGAGAGCTGGAATAAGGACCTACTCTGGTAAAAGTTTGGAACTGATTTAAAACCCTAAAATTGATTGCCAAGGCTTAACTAAGCTTAAAAAGCACTGTAAAAACACCCTTTTTCTTTTAAAAGCTTTTAAATTTGTAGAGAAGCAAAATCCAAGATTAATCAATAGTGAAGAGTCACTAGAAGTGAAATGAGTTTCAGATTAAAGCCATAACCCAATATTTTAACAGACAAGTCAAAGCTTTTCTTTTCTTCTCTTTCAATCCTCTTCTTCTGTCCACATCACAGAAGCGATTCTGAAAGTGAAGCTCAGGCTTCCGGGAGTTGAGGAGAGGTCAATCTCGCCCTCCGCATAATCGCTGTGTTGGAGTGTCTGATTGTATTAGGGTTGAGTGAATAACTGTAGCTGGCAGAAATAGCATCATGTTTTGAACTATCAGTGCAATTCATAGCCTTGTGACTGACTCAGTTTCT